CATGTTTTGGGTGTACTATTCCTTTAAGCTTTAAAGTAGAGGGAAAAATAGAGACCACTGCTGGGCAATAAACCATGATATTAAACTTGGACACTGGAGATTAATGTCCAATTTGATATTAAATATGATCATCAGGCTAGAAGTATGGCGTTTATCTCTGTTGTTTCCTCTTTTTTTTTTCAAACTCCCACCCTATGCGAAAACAATTAACTCAAAGAAGCTCTGTATCTTTTGGGGCAAATCTTGGGCCAGTTACATCTAAGAGGTACCATCATGGACAGCCACATGCTAAAGACCACAATCTGCAGACTGATCAAAGACTAAGTGGATCTGGTGGCTGGTTTCAGAACCAAATCGCTGCAAAGCAGACAATTTGCAAGATTTCTCTCCGAGTAACAGGGAACTTTCAGATGCCTGAAGAGACTGGAGACCTGGGGCGTCTGGAACAAAGGGGAGCTTCCCTTCTGTGGCATGCAATGGTAAGCTGATAGGTACTGGAGACAACTCAGCCGTTTCCAAAAAGGAGATCAGCAGAGGTTACAGATCTGGCAAATTTAGGGAAAGAGTTTTCATTTGAAACCGTTCATCACATACTTTGGGGTGAGGGGGGACAGGGGGAGCGATGTACTGAGGCCATGCGCGGCGCAGAACGCTGCCTTTGGCGCGTTCTTATGGCTGCCAATGGCCCCACCGTGAAGCGGTTCCCTACAGCGCTGCCTTTAATTATTAAGCGATTAATAATCAGATAGCAGAAGATTCCTTAAAGAAGACTTTATTTACAAAATAAACCAGATTAAAATAAAACTTTTCCACTTGAGGAGTTTCGGGTAGAACATACTGACAGACACATTTTGTTTGTTTTTTATTATAATGCAAAAATTTATATATATTTTTACAATTTTGGTATAATTACTGCACTAATGGGGTTGCTCTGTCTGCTAAAGCCCTGTTTTAGAGTCTCTATACTGACGCCACCACAGAGTCAAAGCCGAGTCAGTTCTTCGTAGATACTCTCCTGCCATCTCTAGATGTGCAAAGCTGGAAATCGGATCACAACATTGTACCACGTTATAATCTGCATCCCAGTTCAAAGACATGCTCTACTTTTGTTAGGATCGGGTCAGTACGAGTGGTCTTTCCTATAGAAGATCTTCGGAGGAGAGCTTTGACAGGCTGGCGCACCGGCAGCAGATTTCGGGTGATTGACTGGTGGACCTTAAAGAAGCTGAGGAACAGTCGCTCATCGCTCAATGGTCTCACTTGTTGGTCAGAGTCAACACCTGAAACCATGCTTTGGATGTTTTAAGAGAACTCAAGTAATTCTGCGTTTCCTTTCAGAAAACAACAAGCTGTCAGAGTCAAGCCGAGTACCGCGTCTGGACATTAAAACCGCTTCTGCCAAAGACCGATCATCTCCGCCTGCCGCTCTCCATCCTTCTTCACCATTCCCCCTCGGACACGCTCCCGGTTCCAAGCCCTTCCCTCCACGCAGCCGCCATCAAACAGACAGTAAGCCGGATCATTCAAACCCATCAAGATCTCTCATCACCGGCCCCTACTAACATTTTCCCTCTTCAACAGAACCCGAGCTGAATCCGCCTGGCCACCCAGTGTATGAATGAACTTTATTAAACGTTCACTGAACTGATAACTCTGGTCAACTGTGGGTCAAGAGACTTAAATCCAACATGACAACTTTGTCTTGGTCCAATCCATTAACTATGTTCTTATAACGTGACAAAATATTTTTTTCAAAAAGCAAGAGAGCTGATGACCTCGCAAGGATCTGTACATTTAAAAGCGTTTTAATAAAATAAGTAGCTTTAAAGGCTCTATATCAGGGGTAACCAATTAAAAATCAGCAGGGTCAGAATAAAGAAAATCATCAACCAGTAAAGGTCCGGAGATATTTCTAATTATAATCTGTTACTTTAAACTAAATTTAACACTGAAATAAAATGAGGTTTCTATGTATCCATGTTATATATTGAATTTTTAAATAGAAAAATATAAAAAAAAAAGAACATTTTCCCATTTTAAAATCTTAAGTATCTTTTGATTTCATTCAGTTTGATTTCATTCAGTTTGGTATATAGACAATTTCCTGATTTATATATTTTATAAAACACCTGAACTGACCGTTTGTTTTTTTCCTCTTTTTTCTGGCTTAATAAGAGCAGTGGGCTTTATGCTGCCCTGCAAGGCTTTAAACCTGGGTTTGAATGGAGACTAAGCCATTCTAAAGCACATATCAAAGTGCTCATTTTCAGCCTGGATTATTATTTATTTTTGATTCTGTTCATGGAGGAGAATCCTGCTGCACAGCAGCAGGTTGAGCCAAACGTGCTCAAAATGTTCAGGGTCATCTTTGAGCACACCATCATGTTCTCCTTCTTCCCCATTGCTCAGCTTGCCACAGGTTTGCCTGCTGTGTCTAATGCTGCGTTCACACCGGACGCAGCAGGCGCAGCAAGTTTACATGCAAAGTCAATGGTTGACGCGCCTCAAGGCGCAGCAAAAGGTCCCGCAGCGCGTTTTGAGCAGCAGGCATAACGCGTCTGAGCAGCTGAAGCAGCGCGTCGGGAGTAGGGATGAGGATCGAAACCCGGTTCCATCAAGGACCCGGTTCCACTTTTTTCAAAACCCGAAAATCAATAACATTTGGGCTTATCGATACCCCTATTGAGTCAGGTGGGGGGGTTTTTTCTCCCGGAGGTTCTGTAACATAATTGTGTGTCCCTCGAGTCGCGTCACAGCATTTAAATCTAATCAATCCAATCACTGCAGCATGTCCACCAATGTTTTGGAATGAAATTGTAAGCAAACAGATATCAAAAGTAAAACAAGTGAAGTCTGGCAGTTAACTTCGCTCGCGACTCGAGGATGGCTGAACGGAAAAGGCTCCTTCTCCTCCTGCTGCTGCCGCCGCGGTCG